ACCTAAGACTTCTTATTTATAGATACAAATGTTAAAAATTTCTTTTTTACGCTAATCAGGCGTTTTAATGTCATACGTATCTTGTGCTAAATTTCCATTCAATCACTATAGTAATTTTGGAAAAAGTTGGCTGTGGCAGACACTCAATTCCTATCCTATAGGGAGACCGTTTCATTGTTTCTTTAGGACGGAATATTTAAAAAAACCTTCTTTCGTACATATCTATGTGCTAACGGTTAGAAGTACTCGTTTGGATAACTTTTAAACTCTGTTTTTCCATTTGGAACAGATACAGTGGCTATGGTCTTATGTAGATCACAATGCTTAAATTAACAAGACCAGTATTTTCTATTAAAGTTACCTGCATATATACGTTTCAAAATTGTATCGAATCGAGGCTGGAGTGGACCGGCGGCGGTGGCGGCGACGCGCGTGGCCAGAGCTCCGTGGAACTAGTTTGTTGCGACATACCGTAGGACCATGGGGGGCGATCGACCCCACGGCTATTTAGACGCAGACAATTTTAAGTATAGTACCCGATATAGTAGCCGATTAAAATTTAATCAGCCGAACGATTTGGGTCAAGGTTTACTTAATAATTTTTTTCATTGATTATAATGAAGCTCTTTGTTGTTTAGCGTCTGATATCTATATCAAAAATATGTTTTTTTTTTTTAGTTTTACTTTGAGGGCAAATGAAGTCGTTGAATTTGGCGTAGTTAAATAAACTATTTCAGAATGAGCCTTGTCATCCGCGTAAAAAACTTTTATCTTTTTATAATAATTGTACTTCGATTGTTTTCTTTGTTTTTTTTATGTCATACCTTTGCTTTCTTTCAACCCACAAGCAACGTTTACAATTAAACAGTACTAAAGGTTTTTTAACCAGATAAAAAGGGCTTAGAAAGATTTCCGCCAGAATGTCAATGCAAAAAATTAATTTTGTTATTACTTATTTAGAAGGAAAATCGTTCAAAGGGTAATTCATTATATTAGTGGTTGCGTGCGTTAAATTTTTGTGCGGCACACATGTAAAAATAGTTTGAACAGTTTGACCTCAACGACAGTGTAGTGCGCGCCACGGCCGCCTTTGCGAAATCCAAGTGAATTAGAGCAGCAATTTATGTTATACGTGTCCTAGCCGGATTAATGCACAATGCGTTACGTAAACCCCGATGCTTTTATATACCCTGTCGCAAAGGACCATTTACTTCTCACACGGGCACTTACACTGTGTATGAGGGAAATAATTATATTATATTTGACTAGATGTTTTCCCGCAACGTAAATTATGTGTCACGTCACGCGCGTATGATTTAGATTTTCGTAGATGAAATAATTTTATGTTCGTATCAGTATTTCCGAAGATTACGTTATTGCAAACAAACAAAGTTGGAAATTTTAACTCTTCGGTATAGAGAAATTTTACATTCACTTTTTATTGAATTACAATAAATATTGAACCCTGAATATGAATTTCGAAAGATCAATGGGAGCTTCAGTTACGCGTTTCAGTATATGGCTTTAAAAAATAATGTTTTCTTTTGCAACCAACTAAAGGAGTCACTATGTATTTTGTAGTACTTGTGTTACTTTTTGGATAAACGTGACCGGCCAGTGGTGCAATGGTATGCAAGTCTCTATATTAGCAGATTCAGCACGTACATATTGTGAGTGAGAGCGTGCCCGTGCGCGCAATCAATTGTGTACGGCTCTAATATGTAAACAAGCGGTACAATCTCATTTATGTACGAACGAACGAACGAGTCTTGGGCATTAAGGAGTGCCCAAAGAGAAAAAGAAGCCAATAACACAAATTTTATTTGTGGACAGCCAATTTAAAACTTTCCTTGAAGCATCCTCTTAAGATTTTTCGTTGTTAGTTGTTCTGATATTTTTACTCCCATTTCGAAAGGAATACGACTGTAAGTTTGGGGTTTTTTTCGTGAAGCAGACTTAGTTGATTTCAGTTTCAATTATTAATTATGTATGAAGAGCATTTAGCACTGCAAAAAGATATTTATCGCAAACCATATGGAGTCTGTTAATAGAATAGTAATTTGATGTAGCGTTTTCATTGATACGAACACGAATGATAATATTTACTGCTCATGAGACGCCTTCGATTACCTTTAGAGATATAGATATAGCTGTGGCGTTTTTTATTACTACTATGGTAATTTATAAAAACATATTAAATAAATTAGCAGCTACATACCAATATCAGACAAGTCGATCTTAAGACAATTGACTCGTATTAAACACGGTAATGATGCGGTCAATAGGTATGTATACTAGATAGCGCGTTGCCAGTGTTGATGGTTTGTCAAAATAGCTTTTTAAAAAGCATTTATAAAACAATCATTCAGTGAAATGGAATCTGGGTTATAGTAGCACAATGACAACATTTGACATCACTATACATTTCGGTTAGTATTTTAATGAGGGAGAAAATTGAGCTATTTGTTTCTCAGGGTGCCGCTGCGTATACGCAGACTGTCGCAAATGTATTACGAAACTAAACTCAACAGCCTATATGTGCGCTACCTGCTCAGGGTTGTCATTTGTATTCTAATATATTTTTATTATTATTTTGAATTGCAGTTTAAGGCTAGCAACTTGTTTTATTTTATTTGTTTATGTAATTAATCGATATTTCCAAGCTTTTGATTTATTCTGTTTCTTTTTGTCTCTTTAAAAAGTTACGTTATTCTTTACATGACAACGAAAAAAATGTGTCTCTTCAGTGTTTCTCGTATTCATGTTCCTTGTTTTTAGCATTTGAATTTATATAGTTAAAAAAAGGATCATAAAACTTTTTTTTTTTAAATACACGCATATGATCATGCTAAATGTTATTTTATATAACGTACGGTGTGCTTGCGAAATTATAAGAAAGAAGTATAAATAAAACTATATTTATCATTTAATACTTTCTTGTAGGGATTAATAATAAACACTTATAATATAATCATAAACTACCGTATCCTGCACTACTTCCATCTTTGGGAGTCAGGAGAGAGAAAATAAATGAATAAAAGTGTACCTCCTGTTTTTTGTTTATATAATTAAATGATTTAGTTATGCTTTTTTTTAACTTTGAAACGCGTCAGCAGCAGCCCTATAAATGGCCCCAATGAACACGCGCCATTGTTTTATGGTGGACATTTTATTACCGCTTCTTATTCCCGTGATTTGTAAATGGATTTTTAAACAACTTATAATTGGTGCAATTAAATGGCACTAATTCTATGTAATTTATACTTATATCCATTGTAATGAAATAATAAAGATTTCATAAATTCACTTTCTGTCTTATAAATTAGTAATTATTGAATTTTAATCCCAATAACATCGTTTTTCCTGTTGATTAGGAATGTACGTATTTTAAAATATACAAAATAATTGCATTAAAAAAGTTTTGCGCTTATGTTGTTTTGCATATGAGAGTTAAGTAAAGCTTTGGAGATTATAATAGAATGCCACGTTTTGCAAATGCGTGAGTTAAATTCAGTGCACGCCACCAATGAATACAAGTGCACTGACTTGGTCACTCGTCGCTGAAAGTAACAGTGCTGCTAGCCTGTATGTTGCCTATGCCCACAGTCGAGTTAGAAAATTAAAGTAGTGATGCATAAAAAGACGATTTCCTCAAAAGCCCAAGTTCTAAACAACTAATTATAATATATATAATGGAATGATCAGTGACTTTATTATAGGTACCCAGTCGTATGAAAGGGCCTACGAGAGAGACCTTACGTAGGAGGGTGCGTGCTCGCGACTCTTGCCCATTTAAGGTCTGAACCCTGGGGCTTTTACTCGAGTTGATTTTAAACCCTTAGAATTTATTCTCTGTACGCAATTTTTATTTAAATCGAAAACGACAAAAGAAATACTAGTTAGATTGGTAAAGAAGACCTACTGAGAATGGAATTGGCGCTCCATACTTTTTGAATATTTAAGAAATTACTATGTGTAACCCGCTACGCACACTTTACCTATCTTACTCAACCTGGTCAGTTAACCGCGAGACTGGAATTGAGATCTAGATAGTTTTTTTAGTACACGAGCTTTCAAAAACAATGGTCATTCTTAACTGACACCACCTTTACATATTTTATATACCACGTATAAATAATCTTAATAATAATATATCTAGTGTGTTGTACTGTTCTCGGTGCACTCGTGTCGCCAACTCACGATCTTGGGCGGGGCTTGCGTGCGCGCATACCACATTGCAACGCCTTATCTTTTATCTGCCGTTGAATCGACATCGGGCACTTTAATAGCTACCGAACACACATACCTTATGAGAAATAATTGAACACTCAAACTTGCCTAATAGTATAGGATAGATATTTTTTTGCAAACCCACATCATTTATGTACTAGGTCTAAAAATAGGACCAAATACAGATAATTTGTACAGATGTATATACTCATAACAACTGTTACCAGCTATTAAAATATACGACTTTTGACCACGACCTTTTTCTCACCTTCTTGTCGTACGTGATCCCCTTTTCATCACCAGTTATCAGATTCTTCAAAAATGGTTAACGTAATAAAGAATCACTAATGAGTTTCTTTCAGTGAGCTCGTGAGATAACCAAATATCCAACCTTTTTGTGTACCTAGCTTTTTTCAAATACGCCAAAACTGTTTTGTGGTCAATGAAAAGTTCTTCTGCTACGTCGTAACTCTTGCTCCACTTTTTCAAAAATGGCAACCATAGTATAACCAAAAACATTTTATTACAAGTTTATTCATACTATATGCGAAAATACCTTTTTCCCAACTTTATATATTATTTTATTATAATGCATTTGTTTGCTAAATGTCTATAAAATTAAAAGTAGTATAATATAATATGAAAAAATTTCAAAGTTCCTAGAGCTTATTTTATTAAATCATCTATGTGCTCTTATAAGGAGCCTAAATAGTCTCCAAAAACTGTTGCTCAATTGTTATTCATTGAAATATGTATGTCTATTTTTGCAGAGAACTTGGCACCGTCAGAATTGAAGAAACTAAGAAACAAACAGAGGAAAGCGAAACGTAAAGCGGAACAAGAGAGTGCGCTAGCGGCACAGGTTCAGGTAATGAATGAAATTATTTCCTATTCTTAAACCTTCATGATATTAGATTGGGCACTTTGGGACTTGAACATTTGGGGAATCAGATATTTTGATACCGTTAGACATTTTAGGCATAGGAATTCGGAATTGAAAGGGATTTTTCGACACCTGCCTAATATTATATAGAAAGAAGCAAAATATTGGAGACTCTCGTTTCAAAACTGTATTCAAATATTTTTCTGAAAGAACTTTGAGCGTCGTTGTATCAGTTGTAGTATCATATAATTTATTAGTAAATTGATGTCAGGCTCACATTGGATTGCGAGTAAACGCTTGTCTGAAAGTTTGCGGTTTGTAATACATAACTTTCTGGATGAGTCGCAGTTTAAGCGGTTTTGCGTTTTCAGCTAAGTATATCCTAAACCTCGAGCGTTTAAACGCATTGTGATCTGAAACTTAAATTTGGATCGATTCTATACTTATAACTTGAAAATTTTAAATGTATAAAATAATATTAATAACATACATATATTTTAAAACCTATAAAAAGGTTTTTAATTCTGTATTCAAATTGTGAGTCTTCAGAATTATTACGATTAAGATGCCTTGTATAATATTTAAAAGCCTGATGCAGTTTTATTAATGTTCTTTTTTATTTCATCATCGCTGTCTGTTCATAGAGGTTTTTGTAAAAAAAAATATTCTACAAACATTGATTTACTTTTGCCGCAGGTCAAAAGAGAACAGCATCATAAGGCTCGGCAGCAACAAGAGCAGGGGGACCCTGAGGCGCCGCAGCTTGACGAGCTCATACCGGACAAGTTGGCGAGAGTAAGCACATGTTCACTTATTATATTTGATCAATTTTGCATTAATAATGCTATACTGAAAAATATTCTCAATAATTATGAATATTTTGTAACATTTTTCTTTAAAAATGTTCACTTATTCAATTATTGATAATTTCGATACATTTTGAAAACAGAGCTCTTCTTAATTAAGATGCAAGTTTAGCTTAATTTAGAAATGAAAAATATTGTTAATCAGTCACATACTTTACTTTTCTGGAAATGAAATCACCATATTTATTATTTTTTAAATTCACACAGCAAGCCCTCCGGATATATATAGTCAGTTGTGCCTGACTTATTTTTTATTGTATTGTCAGTTTATGTGAACGAAAAGATTGTATATGAACGAAAACTCAATCACCTACGTAAAGCTGGCTGACAGTCAGTTTAGTGCGAACGAAGCCTTATATTAAGTATGACTACTTTGCTGCACCCTGACAGATGGCGTCACGGTATTTGTATACAACCTGCTATTAAATAATTATAACTGTCGGTGTTATGTTCATCATATCGAACTGTATAATGTGTAATTAAAATAATAAACAATAATTTTTATAATTACAAATGAGATATTCCATACTCTCTGAAAGAATTCGTGTATATCTTTATGACAACTAACGTCGTTGAATTTATACCTTGGTTTAATAGTGTTGATCGTGGTCCTAGTTTAGTGCGCATATGGTGATAGGTATATCGATTGAGAGAATAATTTGTTAAACAAGTGAAGATTATCATTGTAGTCATAATCAGTAACGTATATACCAATAAATTGTGTTGGTTACAATTAATTTTCAAAATTATATTACGATACAAAAATGTTGGAAATAAGCTACTTAAATTTGCAAAGAAATAAATGTTGAATCAACAAATTATTAAATTAACTTGAATTTTTAGGAAACTATATCAATTATAAGAACTACTTATAACTACAATTTATCATATAACCGCAGCAATTAAAATTACAAGACTTGTTACCTTTTGAGAAACGTAGTCAATTTATAATTACGAGTGGAACGGTATAATAAAGAAACCGAATGCGTCTACTGTGTAAGTCTTTTTGACTGGCGACCCAAAATATAAATATATACGAGTATTTTCCAAGCTAGTAGCTCGGTGGCGTAGTGGTGGTGGTGGTGGCAATTTTCGCAAGGGTCGGACACAGGATGGGTAACCAAAAAAATATTTTTTCGAGCTACTCCGTACTTCGGAAGGCACGTTAAGCCGTTGGTCCCGGCTGCATTTGCAGTCGTTAATACCCTCCAATCCGCATTGGACCAGCGTGCAGGGCCATGGCCCATCCTCCTTAACCATCCATAGGAAGGTCTGAGCCCCTGCAGTGGGGACGTAAAAGGACTGATGATGATGATGATATACCAAGCTAGCGACCCAGACTAATTTATTTATGTGTCACTACTAACAAATAAAGAGGCATAGACCGTTTTTGGAGACCGTGGTCTGTTTATGTTAACGGCGTCTTTTAAAAATTTTCGCGTTCAATGCCAATATCTTCCGCAACTTCATTTTGAAGTCTAACAAAATGGTAAAATTGTTTTTTATGATCAATGCGGAAAGAATACAAAAAATCCTTTGCCTGACAAAAAAAAAATAAAGGTTTTGATGTTTTGGCTAAAGCCACAAATAACAATAAATTGTCTTCAAAGCTAAAGATTACCGTATTATATATAATTAATATAAAACTGTGTGACATAAATAAATTTTCTTTTAATGTTGTAAAGTGCGGTGTTTTTATTCAGTACACTAAACCGAATGTTATCTAAAATAAACCAATGTAAATAATACATTATTACATTGGTTTATTTTGAACCGAAATAAAGACCTAATGACTGATGTGTTGTTATAAATATAGCCAATGTTTTTCAGGCAGAAGACCCCCTACAGCAAGCTATCAAGTTCCTACAACCCCTGCGGATGCTCGCCGCGGATAGAATAGAAACACATCTAATGGCCTTCGAAATATACTTTAGAAAAGGTAGATTAGCTTTTGAATTACTAATCTTTTAATATTTATATCGTGTAGTGGTCGTATTTTTTTCTCACGAGGCAAAGGGAGGTAGTCTCCATATTTGTCAGATAAGATCAGCCATTTAGAAGCGCGCGAAAAAGAAAAAATATGACGTGTAGTCATTGACCTGAGACTTGGTGCTTTGGGCAATGTTCACAGGCATAATAAATTGCCAGGGGAAATTAATTTTACTGTTCAATTACGTGCAGAGACCCTCAACCGTGGTGTGATAGTGGTATATTTTCGGTCGACAGTACAATTGTTTGTTGTTGTCAGAACGTCCACTGCTGATGCTGCAGAGCATCAAGCGCGCGTGGCGGCTGGACCGGTGCCATCCGCACGTGCACTCGTGCCTGGTGCGGTACCGCCGCTGGCTCGACGAGTCGCTACATAATATGCACCAGAGTGTCGTCGATGTCGTCAAAGCCTCATGCCAACAGGTGACACAATGATTTCAGCATCACATGTAAAGCCGGAGATATTGAAATGAAAAACGGTATTTCGATCTTCAAAAATAAACACGCTGAAAGTACGTCGGATTCTTTTTCTTGAAATTTCTATATATTGAAACTCCAGAACTCCGGAGTGTAAATACCTAGTATCTAAACTAACTAACCTTCGGAGTTGAAAAACGTCCCGATTTTAAAGCGTGTCAATTCTATAGTGCCACTACGATTTTCTAAGTTTTGTTTGGATTGTTTTATCGTAAAATATATATTTCACGCAGAACAACAATAATGTAATAATAATAAAACAAGTAAATACACGCCTAATAAAATGTGACTAATTTAATTGGCGTGTTACAAGACGTGTGGCGGCAGCTTGGGCTTTTAACCATGTCTAAATAATAATATATTTTTATTTAGAAAAAATATTCAAAAATTTTATTAGACCCTACTATTCTAATCGTGTGACGGGTCCGGAGCTAAGGTGTTGGTTGGTAAATGGAACGGCTGACGAGGCTTGATAAGAAGGTATATTTTACGATCTAAATAAAAATCCTTTCCTGGGTTTTACTTAGAAGATACGATGAAAACTTATACACACACTCGTAAATCACTTCTAATATCAGCATAGATTTTCATATTACGTATTTACTAAACATGTTTTATTAATTTTCCATGATGTTTGTGTTTGTGTTGTTTTTATATTATATATATTAGAGGAGGATCATTTATCAGAATAGGTCTAATCAGCCATATAAATGACCAAACAATCCAATTCATATGATGGCAGTGGCTGCTTGTGCACCAAATATATCTGAATTATGTACTGGTAGCTGTCCTGTACCACGGGTTATGAAATTGATTTTGTTAGAATCACAGTGGTTTATGAAATATAAACAAATGATAAATGGTAATGGGAGCTTATAAAATCGCATTAGCATACTCGGTTGCCCTATTACTTGTAGTACATAGCCCCATTTTTAGGTCCCATAATTTAGTCACTGCATATGGATTGAATTTCTTGTAATTTAAAAGTTTAATTGTAATTATTTGTGTCTCAGTGTAAAATAGACATGCCTATGTACAATAGAATTACATATCTGATATAAAAAAAACATTTCAGCAATAACAGTCGTCCGATCAAAAGGTCGGTTATGAAATCAAAACTCTTTTACATCCATTATTATTTCAGCTTAGTATAAGCGTATTAATTTCAATTCAATCACTACTCGGTGATGAAAAACCAGGAACTCATCTTTTGCAATGCATTAAATTTATTCTATTATAAGTCTCTCCAAATATCTGGCCGCCCTATTCCCGAGCCAATACCGTGGTCTTGGGATTAATCCAGTAATGTATGCACGAATATAAAATTGATACATCTGTTTTTGCAGTTGTTCGAGGATCGTAGCGCTATTCAGATGGCAGAGGAATATTTAGAGGGACCCGCGAAAAAGTCTCAGGCGGCCGCGTTGTGGGGCGCGAGAGAGCTACGGCGATTACTGCCCGCGCGGTCCGACGACGCGCTACGTCTAGCTACGGCGCTGCACTACGACGATACCTCTATAGAGGTATGTTACGAGGATATCGCACACCTAGATCTAAACTGAGACAACTCAAAAATTTTATTGAGTTTTGACTTAGTACAATATTCAAATTCTCTGTGATCATACGTATCTATCCAACATAACAGATTCAATAATAGTTTGGGGATGAGCCTCTAGATAACTTTAGCTTTCTTTTGTCGAATCAACAGTGGTCGCGCTCCTGCCACGTAAACAAAAGTATTGTCAGACCTCCACATTCGTTTTTTGATTTGTCTTAGTTTAGATCTAGGTGTGCGATATATTACAATTGGTTACTTTATTGTTTCGGGCAAAGTATCATTTATCCCCAACGGGAGTTAGTAAATAAAGGAAAAATATATTTGTATTCATTAAACGATCTGTCACGTGATATATCGAGCCGTGAGGTCACATTTCAATGAATATGAATACAGGTTGCACTCACACGAAAGACGTTTGGTTTATTGATATGTAGCGTCACACGAGCCACCGTTATGACCGTCCAAATAAAATATACTACAAAGTTATTGTTTACATATAAGTTACATATTTCATAATTAATTTTTTTTTCCATTGTTTATAAGGATCTTGATATTGAATTGAGTGAGATACTATTCAAAAATAGGTGTCATACCCTATTCTATACAGATACGCTACGGCAATCACTTAGTTGATGATTTTGTATTCGGCAGGGTTGCGTGGAAGTATTGGAGAGTCTCAGGGAGGGCGAGTTCGGTTCGTGCGAGGAGGAGACGCGGCGATACGTCGAGTCGTGCCGCACCAAGTTCCCGTACGCGATCGCGTTCAAGCCGCCCTCGGCCGCCGACCGCCGCGCCGACTCCGCCGATACCGCCGACCGCCGCGCCGATACCGCCGACATCGCCGACATCGACGACCATCCGCTGGAGAACAACGACAACGCTCTCAACAACTAACACGTCCACACGTTACGAATATACACACACATGTGACCACTATTCAATCATTATTTTATTTCACTTTTTTTTTTAATATAGCGCCATCTGTTTATTATGTAAGACAATGTAGGGGCGGGGCGGCGGGATCTACAATGTCTAATTTGTCCTCTTATAATGGAGGGCGGATTGCTTTCGAATGATATTCAAAATTCAATCTAAATAATAAATGATTGGTAAAACAAACGTTTATTTTTTAGTTGCGCTTCAAAGTATGAGATCATCATATATAATGAAATGGATGGCGATTTAGCGTCCGACTAAAATGATATAATGGATTTTAATATTCTTTAATAATACGTATACACAAAAAAGTCACAACTTCTTTAGTAACTTCAGCAGCAGCAATTTCCCACAGAAAGTTAATTACTATAAACTTTGCTTGAAAAATATAAAATTCAGTTCAAAATTGATGAGTGAATAAGTTTTAAGGTACTTTTTGACTATGTATAAACATCTCAAGAATATAATTATAAAACTAATTTGTAACCAAAGACATGTATGTGTACTAAACAAGTTGTTCGGGATTACAATAGGGATGATACCTGGGTAAAAATGATATAAAACATTAGTTATGTTTTTTTGTATCAATGGCTTAGATAATAGGCACTTAAGTTTCAGACTGGGGGCCCATTACAACTATGTACGAAAATGTATAAAGGTGTGACGTCATGCGATATTTTAACTCAATTTATCGTCGCAATTTATTGATTACGCGGAAAATAAAATACATGTTTAATAATAATTTAGTTTAATAATCTACCCTACTGACATGCTTCCAAAAATTATTGATCCTATTTTATATCGTCTCAAGTGCGAACGCGTGTTTAGGGTTATAACCCTAGATAGAAGAAATTCAGTTGAAAAGTAGCGAGATAGCAATACATTGGTTAGTGATTATTCAGTACCTACTGTACGGTTTTCCTAGTAGTATATGAAGTAGTGTAAAGTTCGGAGCACATCTGACTGTCTTATCAATCGCGGAACATTAGAACAGATAAATATATATTATATTCAACCTTGCACATTCGACGGATGTTCTGTCGCGTAATAACGCATACTTTCGACAGACCGTTGACAGAATTCGTCAAATTTGTGCAGACCCTAAAGAAATGTTGATAGCCTAGTTGTTATACTGAACTTTTATTATTTTTCATAAAAGGGTGCTCAGTCAAAACCTCAGAATACCATGCACCAATAGAAATATGAATTATTGTTTAGACATTATTTTTTTTCATAAACCGTCACATTGCTGTGATTTAAACCATCAGAGTCGACGTTGGTTAATTATCTCATATAAGATGCATTCGAAATCGTTTATCTAAAAAAGACCATGAAAGATTTTATCTAATAATTTGTGTTTCTTTAGAAAATTTATTAAATCCTTCTTAATATTAAATAAGTAATTTATAAACCGTTGTTTAGTTACACATAGTTCTGTTCACGTCATCTCAATGAGACTCTTAGCTTGAGCGATAAGTACAAAAACAGTTTAAAACTATACATTTCCATCTAGAGAATTGGTCTTTACAGTGAAACGTAATGGTTCTGAGAGACTGACAGGCTAGATGAAAAGTTGTATTTAACAATTTCACAACATACATATTCCCATTGAAAAATTTGACCTGAAAAAAAAAAATGTTTAATTCGATAGTTTCTAGTTAACTGACTGTCAAATAGCTAATGTACCCTCGTTGAATGATAATGAAACTCAACTCGGTCGATCAGATAATGTTTATTAAATATACACACTGCTTATTCTTGGTTTGGTTTGTTTTTATTGATTAATTGATTTGTAGGTATTTTAATATTTAATCTGACTAGGTGGGTAAATCTAGTGCTTGAATTTTAACGGCGGAGGAGGTCCCCCGCTTGATCTGAAATTTTGGTTACACTCATTTGACTCCGATGATAATGCAAATCCAAGATGGTCGCTCCCACAAAATGGTGGATCACATATTTTTATAACATTCGGGCTGTCGGTAGCCTGTACGGTATATAGCACGTCGTGATTTGTAATGCAGCTACATTATATCTGCATCATGATTGTTTTTACAATAAAATATAATAGTTAAATATATATATTTATATATATTATTCTAGTTTGTCTTATCGTACAATAACTACGCGTCTACGGTATTTATTGTACGATACTATGGCATTATTTTATACATAGAAATTATATTTCTGTGCGTCATATTCGATCCGGAATTGTGTGTAGTCGATAACAGGCGAAAGCTTTTCAATTCTTATCTTGTGGACACCTAAACTCTTAAATTTAACGCGGAAATTTGCTTCATTGCAGTAACCTGGTGCGTGGTTGGTTTTACATTTATAATTATTTCATAACACTAAGATTACTATTGTTGTTTTGTCGTTTTAATGTTGTAGCGGTTCGAGTGACATTCGGCTTAAGGTGACGTCTTCATTCACGCACGTAAACACTATTTAAAATATATACATACACATAGTTTAAGTGTCCAATTTATTGTTGGCTTGCTATTTAATCTGATTTGACTGCCATATGTTCACATCGGTGAACAAAGTAATGACGAAAGTAGGAGGGCATTCAAATGTAACGAAAATACAAATTTTCGGCCTTAATTGTGAAGTATAATTTGTGAATTGTGTTGTGAAATATGTTGCCTCTTTGTTGTGTCTTAGTAAATTTTGCAGCGATCTTTCAGACATTCAATAAATTCAGTCTGTAAAATTGTAAGCTTATGTTACTTAGGAACCACTAAATTTAATATTGTATTTAAGTTATAAAAGTTAGTGAAGCACTCATTTTTTACTGTGCGTAATGTATACACTATGTTTGATTAATTATTATTGGCAATTTTAGAACATCTGTAAATGTGTTATATAGAAAAATTGTTGAAAAATGTCCCAGTCTGAGGTACAGATGTCTAGGACGAATATTTTTAAAATATCTTCTCTATAAGCTATAATATAAATACAGCATTTTAAATGTGAAATTCATCAGATATAATAATTACATCTACACAATTTCTATTAATTTAACAAACGCACATATGCTGTTTCGCTTCTTGATTTTTTTATTCGTTTATGTGATAAGTTCAGAAACGCTCTACATATTTATGAAATTGAAGATGTCACTTTTGTAAACTGTGGCCTTTATAAAAACCAATCAATAGTAATAATAATGTCATAAATGATAACATAACATAATAAAATAAATTTTTTAAAAGCTATATTAGTATAATAAAGGTTTCATTGTAACATTATTTCTTTAGCCATTCCCCGTTTTGTCATCGACACAGCCGAGGAATGTCTAAAGATTGGCGCCGAGTAATAGGACTTAATATGTTTATAGGGTTTGTTATACCGTTTAGAATATTTGCAACGTTTTACAATCTACAAATGGATTTTAAGAATGAAATATTCAAATTAGTTTAATAGAATTCAACTTTTTCGCCTATGTCAGTTTTGAAATTATGTAACCGAAGTTGTAATTTTCAGGTTGGCATTGTAATTATAGTTATTAGAATATGAAAAAGAAAGAATGTTAAACAAGATGATGGTCTGAAAATGCGTTCAAGTTACAGAGAAAAAGAGGTGATAAGAGTTACTTAGATAAGGAGTTGTCAAAACTCGTGTACCATGTCCAGTGATTGGATAATCGGATTCCTAATGATAAATTTCGGCTCGGAATTATGTAAGCAGTTTTTTAAAATACTTTTTTTTAATCCCGGGATTCTACAAAATACGGAAATGCAATACTAGTCGGTAATACGTCTTTGGTTGTGGTAATTATTTTCAGAAAATCTGGGGATTCCGGAATTAAAATAAATAATTTTTGCCGTAGATGAAATTTATGAGTGAGAATAAAAAAAATAGATAACAGCCAACACTTCAATTTGAAATAAATATGTATTGAATCCCATTATCCGGTCGCTGATTATGATGTTATTAAAGAACAAACTGCCTGAAATCATAATTTGAACTATATTATCAACAAATTAAGGTATTAAGGAGAATTTTTTGAATTTTCATAAGATTTATGAAAAATATAAAAATTATATCTCAGATGTACAAGCTAACTTAGATAGTTTGGTTAAATTGGACTTTTGATATTGATTATCCCATTCTAAACAAATAAATATGTACAGTAATTTGCAACTAATATGGCTCGTGGTGAATGATCACGCGCAGAGCAGATCTACCAACCGAATATTGCCGATATTTTATTAATAATAAAATAATTACCGAATGTACGATTAAAACACATAGCGTGTCTTGGTTTACCACTCACACCGAGCTGGGTTCAGGTACGTGGATATTGGTGGATCGCCCGATGGCGCGTTTCTTGAATCATCCTGATTGGTTGACATTTACCGCGCTTCGAAATTTAATCAACGAACCACATCTGGAGTGAGTCCACTCAACTATCTAGTCATAAGATAAGACATCTTAGCGAACATAATAACGGTACCTATTTCGTTTCATTGTACTACTATGTATAGGATAAATTACTTAGTTGGCAACACTGCTGTCAAATCCATATTCATCATGAAATGGCGCATGACATCGCCAAGATCTCGTATTCTATGGCTAGAGTTATAGATCAGGGTAGGCGGTCGCTCTCCAGTTGTATATTACTGTACGTCCATACAACGGAATCAACTCTATTTAATATAAACTGTATGGAAAAAGATATGACTTCTATTTCATAATACCGTAATCTCTTCTATAAAAAATTAAGCCAATTTTAATAGTATCTTTGTAATATACATAAGTGTTTGAACTTACCCATGTAATCATCAAAATTTGTATTGTTTCATTGTTATATAACCCCATACATGAGGGTTTAGAGTGTTCATAATTATTTTCAATTAACAAAAATATCATCTAATATTAGAATTTTAACGACTGGCTTTCTAACGTACGAAATAAATGTGTGGCAAATGTAACCTCACGTTTTGTAAATAAATATAATTTAAGTTTGTACTATTCAATATTCTTTAGAAGCTAAAGTCGGACGACTTGGTAAAAATTAATATTGATTGATCGAGTGGATGTGTAAAGGGTCAAAAACTGTTTTTAATTAATTACATTTAAAATAGGAAACGGAAAAAGCAATTTGAAATTCGGGGGGTAACATTGCATTTTTTTACCGACAATATTTTATAAATTCTCGTTTTGGTCTGTCGTCACAGTCTTTAGAAACACAGTTTAGTTTTCTATAATAGTAATAACTTATTTCGCGATTAATTTTAAATATAAAACCAGCTGAAAGTTAGTGTTTTTTTAATACAAAACGAGTTGAAAATTGAAAGTTAATCTGTGGAAGTTCATAATATTATTTAATTGAGTTGTTTCTTTATTTTGTAATGTGTAAATGTCGGACAATATAAGTAACACAACTGAGACTACTATGATAGTATCGTGTGGTGAATAATGGCCGACAAAATATTAAATAAACACAGTGGTTCTTGCTTATCTTGTTTTTTCGTTGAACGCTAATGACTTGGTATATAAATACCCAATGAGATAATAATTGTTTTGTGGGCTGGTTACCCATTATATTCTGCGTTCTTTAATCTCATTTAAGATTACAGAATAGTAACAATCCCGTCAATTGGTTTGTTTCAAAAATGTCTCTCGGTTCTATATTAGTTGATTTTGTAAATTTCAATCGCCTTATGATTGAGTCACTATTTATGATATCCCACGTGGCTAAGTTTTGAAGTTCACATGTGAGTGATTTCCTATAATGTTTTTATTATAGACATAAACAGTGTTCATGTTTTTGACCTAGTATCAATAATTTGGTTCAGATTGGTGATTTATAAAGCAATACTCTAAATATAAAAAGCTTTTAGATATATTTATATAGCATCAAATATAGTATAACTGAAGAATAAATTAATATTGATACGTGTCTACTTCCTGTATAGTATATTTCTCATTTTATTGTTGATTTAAATGTTTACTGAAGAAAGGGAAATGTACATATTTTTTTGATAAAAAAATTAGTCACAAAGCGAAATACTTTTTTTTACTAACTTAAAAAATGAGGTTATCAATTTGATCTTGTATGTAATGTTTAATGCTGTTCAATATAGGTTTGTGCTATAGGTTTTGTTTTGTGCGTGAAAAAGCAATCAACCGAATGATACTAGGCATTTTTTTATGTATTCAAGGCGTGTGATTGGAGTATTGTCCCTGTCATCTTGTAAATAAAGTAATAAAATTTTTATTTTACAAATTTTATTTTCTTTTATTATGTCTATATATACCCGAATTAGTAAGTATAAAAAATAGTTATCGAAATGAATCTGGCTCCCGAAGTAGTTTAAAAAATCTAGTGTTCAAACATGTTATTGTCTATGCGTTTCGGTTTTTCTCTTGAATGAGGTAGTCGACTAAATTGAGTTTCGACTATTAATAAATATATTAATTAACACCTTGTGTTCTATTAAATATCTAAATCTTTTAATACTAAATTACGATATTAGTGCGTTATGATGGTTATAACATGCGAGGCGGAATTTCAGCCCGAGCCGAAGGCGAGGGCTTAATTGAGCCGAGCATGTTATAACTTATAACCAGAGGTCGGAATTAGGTAGAGATATTTATGTACTTGCATCGAATTAATGTGGAC